TATTGTTTTCTTTATTCTGAGCACAGACGTGGTCACCACAGCGATGCCTTTATTCGTACGGGTCTAAAGTGGAACCGGTATACAGTTCTTTATTCTGAAAGAGGAAAAACAGCTTCGTAGATAAAGAAAACGATACCCGTACGTGCGAATAATAGAATTCCTTTGTTTCTAAAGACAGTATTCCTTTATTCCGGCGGATCCAAAGTGGGGCCGGTGTGATTCCTTTATTCGCGAGGATCCTAAAATAGGTCTTCGCGTAGCGAGGGGATTCACGGTCGCGTAGAAAACACGATATTTGTGTAGGATTCCACGGTCGGAAAACACATAGGGGAAATCTCAGGTAAACCAAAGACTTATAAGCAACGAAGATATCCTAGTATTAACAACTAGAATAGCCCTCGTAGTATAGTGGTTATTATATCCGTACGTAAAGAATAGTGCCCCTGTTTAATTCACGCAATCGTAGCTTTTATGATTTTTCTGATTTTATAGATTTATATGCATACGACTAAGCCGACCGACCGATCAAACTGTAGAATCGTAGATCTAGGAATGTAGGTCGGTAGGAAGGTAGGTCGGTAGGAAGGTAGGAAGGTAGGAAGGTAGGCAGTGTCGGTAGTATATGGAGTGGTATGTCGGATAGGAATAAGGACTGTTGTTTAGAATCGGGGGATTCTCTTTTTAGCTTGCGACCGTAGGTAATTAAGAAATGCGTTGTTTCGAGACTTCAGTCGAGCTTTTCCGGGCTCATAACCTTTTGAGGATATCTGACGATATCGGATAAACGGAAGGGACGAAAGTCACGAAAAGCAGTGGAAAAATAAGAAGGTAATAATGGGATTGTAAGGTAGGATCTCTGCGCGCGTATTGTGTCTTCTTCGGATCGAAAAAGGGATTAAGATAAAGGATTTAGGATTAAGAACAAAGAAAGGAAGAACCGAACCGAGGGAATGGGTTAATATCCTTTATTCTTTGTAAAGGATCGATATCGTAGTAATATCGTAATCTATTATATCCTTTGTCTGACTCGTAATAGATAAACTGACTCGAAAGAGAACGGTCTAGGCTTACGGGGAAGATATCCTTTATTCGAGTACGAAGGATATACTCGAAAGATATTAAGGATATTATTAGTAATAATATTAATATCAAAAATTTTAACTATAGAAAGGAGTATATAGGCGACGGTATAGAGACTAGCTACCCCTAATCCGCACTATAGTACTAGCCATACTATAGTGTCCGGATCTAGACTACTTATCCGACCGACTCCTAAGGTAACCGCCCACTAAAGGAAAAAGAGTATATTAGTAAAGGAAGCAACGCGCGCTAGCGTAAGAATCACTAATCGCCGTGCTTAAGGAAAGACTATTCGGATTAATCCACGGATATATTAGGTAAAGCCAGATATACCTTTAACTTATACCTTTTTCTTATCTAATTAACAAGAAGAGCGCTAGGACGGGCTAAAAGGGCTTCTAACCTTTAATTTAATAATCCTTAGAGTAGCCGATACTAAAATAAATACCCGTTCGAATACTAAAAGAGAGGCTATAATATCACCGAAGCCCTTAATTAACGGCAGGGTTTATCGCGACCACTTAAAAGCTATACTAAGGTATTAGCGGGAGCTTACTAACCACCCGATACGTAAACGGTTCAAGGAAGCCGAGTAGAAGGAGGTGAATAAGCTAATTAAGAAGCGTATATAGAGGGAAATTAAGCGCTTAGAGGTAAAGTTAAAGCCTTTTCCGTTAAAGTGAGTTTTTATCTATAAGTTCGACTAAAATAGATATCTTAAACGATATAAGGCACGCTTATATATTCGAGGGGACTTATAAGAGAGCTTAATAATTAAGGGAACCTACGTAGTAACGCTCGCTATATAATCTGTTTATATTATTATAGCCCTGGCTACTTAGTTTAATCTAGAGATTAAGTAACTTAATATCGTTAACGCCTTCGTTAACGCCTAGAGGAGTAAAATAGGAACGCCCGTAATATACGAATTTTCCGATAGATTTAAGTAGCCCGATAAGTGCTTAAAGCTCGATAAAGCACTATATAAACTACGCAACTCGCCTAAACTATAGTTCTAGACCTTCGCGGCCACCTTAATAGACTTAGGGATAGAGGCTAGTAAGGAAGAACCGTGCCTATTTTACACTAAGGCTTAAGACGTATTCGTTATCTTCTTTATAGACGATATCCTCGTGTTATTTTATAAAGATAGTGCTATAAACGGCCTTAGGATTATTAAAGGGATTAAAATAAGGTTCGAGGTATTAGAAAAGGGGGAAGCCGATTAGTTTTTAGGTATTAAGATCACTTAAGATCGCCCTAAACGTAAGGTTTTCCTCTCCTACGACTTATATATCGAAAAGATCGTAGCCAGGTTTAAATTAAACGCTCTAAACACCTACCTAATAATCCCTATTCCCGCTATAGAATACCGAAAAAGAGAAGATAAAGCCACCGCTTAAAAGATTAAATCTTATTAAGAAAAGGTCGGATTAGTGCTTTATATAGTAGTTATAATACGTCCTAATGTAGTATTCGCCGTCTTTATCCTTTCCCGCTTTCTTAAAAACCCCTCTCCCGAGCACTATAAGGCGGTAGACTAAGCTATCCGCTATTTATTTATAATAAGGGACCTCTTAATTTAGTACGGATTAAGTATTAGTTTATAGACGATAGTTATCGTAAGTAACGCCTCTTTTATAGACGATTTAGATATATAAAGATCTTTATAGGGTTACCTTATTAGCCTATTTAGTGGATTAGTTATATAGAAAGTAATAAGGTAAGTAACGGTAATAACGTCTATAACCGAAGTAAAGCTACTTGCTTTAAAGTAAGTAGCGAAGGAAATAATAGGTTTAAAGCGTTTTTTAATCGAAATACGCTTTAATCCAGAATCTCCTTAGGATATCCACTACGATAACACGTAAACGATACGCCTAATAGTCGATAATAGCTTTAGGATTAAGACTAGGCTTCGCTATATAGATATATAGCGCTTTTAGGTAAGGTAGGAGAATATAAAGGGATTATTTGGAGTCGTATATCTTATTACGAATTTAATACTAGCGGACGGATTAATAAAAGCACTTCCACGATAAAACTTTAAGAACTTCCGAGTATATCTTAATATAATAAGTGCACGGAGGGGGTGGAAAGAAGTAGTTAAAGTCGAAAATCCTACGCCTTAGGCGCACCGTATACCGGCGGTATAATTAATTTAGTAAAAAAGGTATCTTATTATAATGCTAAAATACTATACTAAAACCTAAACGTAAAAACCTAAAATATAAAAAGGAGTATACTAGATAATTCACTAAGCTCTATTAATACTATCCTAAGCACTATCCTACGTAATATTTACGCTATTTCCTCTAGCCGGAGGAGTAATAATAAAGCTATTTTCCCGTAAAATCTTTATTATAACCCCCGCGAGCTAGGAGGTAGAATTACTACCCGAGGCAGTAGCAGGAAGCTAGTTTAATACTCCCTTAAGTTCTTCCTTACGGAAGAACTTCTCGTTGTCCTTGTCCTTTATTAACTTAATTATAAACTTCACTATTTACTTAAGTTTAGTAAAGAACTACGCGAAATAATTAATTAGAGTATATAATTTTAGAAATAAAAGCGATAAACGCACCTTTTTATCGTCGTTATTAGAGTCCTTATTAATTTTACGGACTATAATATAGTTAAAAAGAATTTTAACTAAGGATATAAGGCTAGAAAAACTATAAGTATAGGTTAGCGGTCGTAAAGCTTAATAGCGTATATATCTTCGAGCTAATATAAAATAGAGTATATAATCACGATTATAAAGCGCCTTAGATAAGAGGTAAGAACTTATAGAGGGTGGTATATATAGTTTCTATCCTTATACTTTTAGTAGCGGTTAGAGCGGCTAGGGATAGAAATATAGTAGTTAAATAAGCGCTATTTACCGGAATAAATACCCTTTACGTATTCCAGGTAAGGGGGATTAAAAAGAACCGGTATAAAATCATCGGCGGTATCCTTATTATTATTATTTCTATTACCCTTAGTAGTCTATTAAAGGGTTAGTCGGAAATAGAGAAGACGAACTAAGGATAAACGCGCCGAAATAACTTATAGAAGCACCTTTCTTAGTACCGGCCTTACCCTTATTCTTTTTTATACTATTAGCCGAAGCCTTCTTAGCGGCGGCGGCACGGGTAATAGCGGACAGAGTAGGAGGGGCCTAAAATAAAGCTACCAGTTAGCACGCGCCACTAAAAACAAAGCTCCGATACTTATTATATCGCTGTTATTATTATTTTTATTACTATTAATAGAAAAATTCGGAAAAATTAAGTAAAAAATCGTTAAATTCCTTAAAAATAACGGAATAAGGGTTATAAGAGGGAGGATCTAAAAGCTCTAAAACGCCGGTATAACGCCTTTAATTTATCTACGAAAAGCCCTACTATTACCTATTTACTACTACTATTAATAGCACTTTTCCTTTCTTATTTACTACTATTATTATTATTCTTTACTATTTTATAGCTTTTATTCCTGCCTTTTAACTCGATATTAAGGGTATCACACGACCCTTTAAGGCTATTTTAAGGTTAAAAATAAGGCTAGGTTAAGGTTAGGCTAAGTAATCGTTCCGCTAATCACGGCGTAATAATTAAGGGGTATATTATATTCTATCACGTGAGCCACGGTATAGTACTCTCCTATTAGTTAGAGGTGCCCTACTATCCTCGCTTAGAAGGTAGCAGATATATTTAGGACACGTACACCCGCCCCCTTTTTCTTTCTCTTTTATACATAATACAATCATACATTTCCTGAATCAACGCTCCCTATAAGCACGCTCCCGTTAATTCAATAAAAGGTAGGTAGGCAACCAGTCTTACATACCTATGTACACTTATAGTAGAAGGTACCTTCCCTTATCGGCGACGGTTAGCATGGAAACGCTCCATATAAGCACACCCCACCCTTTCAGCATGCCACTCAGGAAGCTCCATCTTATCCGGAAGTGGGACGTTGGATAACCGATAACCACTCAACCTGTAGCTCCCTGAATCAGCACATCACCTCATCCCACCAAGGAGTGCAGCGACGACGGAGGAAACTGTACTGTACAAATAGGACTAAGTATTACAAAGTACCCATACTTTACCCATGCAATCACGGCGACCCCGCGGTACGAGCTTTCCAGCAGTACGCAGCACGAAGATGAATGCCTCGAGGTTCTTCCTGACAAAACCCTATCCGGACTTTTGTAAGACTCGGCGGTACCCCAAATACAGAGAGCTGTCTGCTTTACTGTCTCAGACCTTCAAGTATAGGGAATGACTCTGGTCCGCTTCAAATCGCCCTTAGTCAGTTTCGGTGCGCCCCTTGACAGCTCGCCCTCAAGAGCAACGGGCGACAGACTGAAGCAGGGAGCAAGCCGCAGGAGCGTCATGGTCACGCCTTGGTCAATGCACAGGCTGAAATCCCCTCGTGACATCACCCTGCCGCACGCGCTGGTCAGAATAGGTACAGAAGGTACCTACCGTACCTCAGCCGGATGGACATCAACCGTGCACATGCAGAACACACACCCCTAACCCAGCTGGCCACCAACGACGAGTTGCATCACATCTACAAAGGATTCGAATCTTCGGGTCCATCAATTCTTCTAAGCCTCTATGACTCTTGGTATTACACATCCTACAAGTGTATGCCTGCCCGTCCTTCCTACAAATCACTGAAATACGCAAAATAGGCCGTTACGGTCTCCTGCCCAGCATCTATATTGGTGGAACTTCCAACAATCCGCGGTGCCGCCCAGACTCTCCAGGGGGTGGGATACCGATACGAAGACCCTTCCTTCCCTTTTCAGGCGTCATCCAACTGCCTCCCCTCTTCGTCGAAGTCGATGTCTTCAATCACCACGCTCCGCCCGTCACTCGCCTCTCGCTTGGCCACGACTCCGGCTATTAGACCCCGGTCCGGTCGTAGCATCCCGTATAAGTGTGGAACGACCGTCACACCGCCGCCCCGACTCCCCTTGATGAACTGGAGCTGTCGTCCGGCGATCATCCACACGAACGTAGGAGGCGAGTAGAAGAGCTTGAAGGTCGTCGACGCCTTGAGCAGAGCCCACTTGCTGAGGTCCGGGGGTTCGTCGTCTCGTCACTCCCCAGGTACGCCTGTATCCTCTTAGATTTCTTCGCCTCTGGCGATGGCTCGATGTCCCGCCACTGGCTATACACCGACTGCACTTTATCCGGAAAAGCGTCTCCATTGCTGGGTCCCATTTTCTGCCTCCACTCCGCCCGGACGTGGTTCAGCTGTCTTCTCAGGTCCTCCTTGACTTTCTTGAAGATATCCGCTCGCGAGGCCTGGGCGATTTTCTCGAATTCGTCGTAGGGACCCGCAAGGTCCTTGTCCCAGTCTACCGCCTCGCTCCCCAGGGATTCGTGGAAGCTTGTCAGCGACGCCTCGATTTTCGGGATGGCCACTTTGAACATCAACTCATCTAGGACGTGCGTCGTCGGAGAGGCGCCCGATGTAGGATTTTTATAAGCGGGCTCTGGTAGAAACTTATCCCGGGTTATCCCGCGGCGCAGGCGATCCCAGTCGTCCCACCCGAACACAATGCCCTGCTTGGCCTGGTCGACCAGGTGGTCCACGAGGGTACTGAGCAGAATAGCAGCGTCGTCGTCGATACGTCCCGTCCGATAGCAGAGCCTTTCTTTATAGTTGGTACATTGGCCGAGGAGTTGGTCGTCCATGTTGAACTTGAAGCTTTCATCCATGAAGTCGGAAACGGCGCGCTTCATGCTGAATTTTCGCCGAGTAAACAGCTCACGAAACGTTGTATTCTTCTTGCGAAGATACCCAGACGCGAAAAGATCCGGGCAGGTGGGCACATCGGCATTGCAGAAGTTGTTGACAATGGTGGGGTCCCAGCAGACCCAAGCCTGGTCGCCGTCGTAGTCGCCTCCGGAGAGCTTGTCGGCTAGGGATCGATCCCCTTTCGTGGAGAACACGATCACGTCTTTCAACCCGCGGAGCTCGGGGCGGAAAACCGCCTTGACGCGCTGGATATCGCTAGGAAAGTGCGCAGGCGCCCTGGCTACCAATACGTCCATCCCGTGCAGGAGGGTGTCGGAGAAGTCGTCCGCCTCGAATTTGGACGAGAACCCTAAATGCACCTCTCCCTCCTCAAGCACACCAAGGAAGTCGACTACCATGTAAGCGTAAGCAGATCTTCCGATTTTGATGTTGAGTTTCGTCTTGAGAGCATCTCCCATGCGATTCGCGAGATTCCACGACAAGTCCTGCAGATACTTCAACTTTCTCGGGTGAAAGCCCCCGTCGAGCAGGAAGTTAATCCGCTCGGACTCGTTATCTGGTAAGCCGGCAAGAAATCTGACTTGCTCGTGTCTCAGGCGCTCGTTTCGATACGCCCCGAAGCAGTTCTCGTGGATCCACTGACGGTACTCGAGGGGATCATTCATCGACGAACGTTGCCGCTCCAGCTCTTCATCGAGCGACTTTTCCAGGCACCTGGCGATGGCCCTTTGCATGTCGCTGGCGTCATTGGCCCGGCTGATGAGGACAGGAATGAATTGCATGTTCAGGGCAGCAGGTCTGAGCTCTCGCACTGGCGACTTGACCTCGAAGGTCCGGTGGTCCTCGTCGACGAAGTCGCACTCCCATTTGCGCTGCGACGGAAATGTCTCTATCCAAATATCGTCGCTGGTGTCTCGGTCATCGCGTATCCAGAAGCCCTTGGCGCTGCCAAACCGCCCCTGGAAACCGGTCGGAGTGTCCTGAAGCCCCAGGTGATCTCGGATCCTCCTCACCAAAGCCGGCGACATTCCGGCGATCCCGTCATTCATGACGTTCCCCGTAGGCGACAGGATATCTTTTGGCTGATGACGAATTTGGCTCGGCTCTAGAACCACAGTCGGGTGCGTTCGAGTGAGGCCTACGAAATAAACGGGTCAAAGGCGTTAAAAGGAAAAAGCGACGATGAAAAATCGGAAGAATAAACCTACATAACGCCAATCGCGAAAACAGTTTGAGAGCAGGCTGGCCCATATTGTCTCGGAGCGAAATGGCCCAGTTCAGCATGTCGGTAAGGTTCAGTCTCGCCCTGTCGCGGATTTGGGTCGCTTCTGCTTTGCTGGGAATGGAAGGGCTGGGGTAGAACGAGTGGCCGTCCTCAGCGAAGCAGTGGACGCGCTCCATGCTGGTCATGGTCTCTCTCTGGAGACGATCCTTGACGGTCTTCTTGAAGTATTTGGTAAAAAAAGCAGCCCACTGCCGCCCCATTACGAAATGTTTCTGTGTCGCGAGCCACTTGATGATGGCGTCCGAAGCGCCGTCCATGTCCTTGATGAAGTTGGGTCTTTCTCGGGCGTTGGGGGACGGGATAATGATCTCTAGGAAGCGATCAGATCCGAACCGGCGGCTGAGTCTGTGAGCGAGATCGAGCTTGGGCGGTTGAAGAGAAACGGTAAAAAGAGGCCCATGGCTCGCTTCATTCCATGCCAGCTCTAGAACAAGACTGACCCCCATACCTTCGGCCTGGAACGTCGAGTGACAGGCATCCCAGGCGTTCGATGCGCAGGACTCGGGGAAGGTCTTGCCGGCGAAAAGGTGATGGCGCCGGAGAGCGCCCCGAAGCTGTGTTTGGTCGGTCCAACAGCTCCCGAGGGCCAGGTCGTCCAGGTCTTGAAGACGAACGCCGCAATGCAGCGCGATACGGGTGACTTCCCAGCTCACAACCAAGGGCGCACCATTGAGGAACGACGGGAGCGGAGGCCAGATGTTCCTCAGACGATCTTCCAAGGCAGCCAGCTTCTCGGACCAGATATGGGGCTGGTGTTCGTCTAGCAGGTCAGACCCAGGTGATGAAGGGGCCGCCTCTTCAACATTGACACTTGTACCGTCATCCCGGAAGGATTCTCCGCGTGGTGAGTTATTGTTCTTTGCAAAACCTCGAGTGACCCTCGTCTCGAACGTGGTGGAAAGTTCAGCTTCAAAGTCGGGGGACGCATCATACGAGCCGGGAGCGGCGGTGTATTGATGGGCACGCTTCAGCTCCTGGGAACCCGCCTCGACCGTCGTCTGGCTATCGGAGATAGGCCCTTCATTCTCCCGCTGTGAAAATACGTCGGAGACAAAGGTGGCTCTACTTGTGTTGACAGAGCTGCGGGAAATGGAAACGGTTCGTCGCATGGGCGTGGGAGACAGTCTATGCCGGGCCAAGGAGAGGTGCGAGATCGCCTTTGTCTGGACAGGCCCGTCGAGAATGTCTGGCTCATGATGATCTTCGTCGGGGGGCTTGGCTCGTTTAGGTAAGGGGTTCAAGGGAAAGTCATCTGAAGTTCTCTTCGCCGGCTTCGGACGACCATGACGAGAGGGGTTCGGCGGAGACTCGGCGGGAAGCGGCTTTGCCAGCACGGATGCCCGAGCTCCACTGAGCAGGTGGAGGAGTGTCTTCTGCAGCTCATACGAATCGGCTCGCGAGACGGCTTGGGGCGGGCACGGCGCCGTCGAAGTGGGTAAAGTGTCGCGGTCGGCACGAGGCTTGAGAACCCATCGGCTGCGATATCCTGTGCGTGGGTTTCAAACTGGGCCAAGGCGCTATCGAGGACATGCCGATGTTGGAAGTAGAGGAAGTGCAGGTGTTTGTAAATCAGATCGACCCTTTGTTCCTCATCTCCTGCCCGTGTGATCCGCTCTTTCCTCTTGCGCGGGGACAGGGTGAGGTCGAGAACTTGGAGCCGTAAGTTGTAGTGTTGGTTCAGATCACTCATTAACTTGTGGAACTCTTGTGGTTTTCTTCTCTGGACATCCGACATGGGGATGGGGACGCTAGTCATGGTTGAACAAACATGACAGCAACGGCACCAGACATACCCAGTTTCAGACGGTCCAGAGGGAAAGCACAAAAAGGCGAGGGGTGAGTGGAGAGCGCCCTCCTCGGTGAGGGCTAGAAAAAGAAGAACCGGTCGGTATAGTACCGCGCCCAAGGGGTGAGAAGAAAAGAAAAAAAAATGAGCTGGGTGCAAAAGTCGTGTAGGGTGAAGCCAGAGGAAAAGGCTAGTGGAAGGGTCGCAGCGGCCAAAGTGGCGCAACGGCTACAGATCTCGAGGCTCGACTCTGATGTTTGCGACCGAGGCAACGGGCAGTCGAGTCGTCGACACAGGATACCTACCAAGTAGGAATATGACGAGATTCCGTGGACAGAGTCGGCAGCACCAGACCCAAAGGTAAGCCGGCGATCAAAAAGAAAACTTGGTAAACGCATGAGTGGGAAACAAGGTGCCGTTGCGATGAGCTTGGCCGCAACGCGCCGAGTCCGTTGGGCGCATTCTGATTTGATTAGCTCATACCCAAAAACGGGCGGCGCGGTCCGCGATCGCTACAGGTAGGTACGTTGTAAGGTAGTGACTCCCTTGAAGTACTTGGGCAAGGGGTACCTACCCAGGGAGGAGCGAGGAGCGAGGAGCGAGGAGAGGGGGCCGTACGGCATGCCAGAGAAAAGGGGAGGTGGGATGCGGGGGAACGTAATGCAAATTGCACAGCACCACAGCTAATCGCAGTGTGCAGTGTGCATGTGCAGTGTGCAGCGAGCAGGAAAGCCGAGGATGGTACAACTCCGATGCTGCAGTCAACGGCCCTCCAGAAGATAGCCCACTAAGGTATACGTTGTAACCGGGCAGTTCAAGTATTAATAAGGTACGAACCGAATCGGGCTTCGTACGGAGTACGGTCCATAAGGTATTCCCGACGCTATGGCCTTCTCTCCGTCCATGTCACATCCACACCGGTCCAGAGACCAAAGCGTTCACGTCTTCCACCTTCACCACATCCCACGGAAGGTACTTTATCCAGCCACAACAGAGATCTACGCGTATCCGTCTTCCCGAGTAACGAGTCGCAAATCTGAGGATATCAAAGAAGATGGGCGTAGGAGTCCGTCCTCTCGTCCATTCCCAGCTCTCCTGTTTCTGGTTGGCATGGTTGGCAGGCTACATCGTTGTTACCAGCTAATCATATTGCGCCCAGAGGATAGGATAAAGAAGTGAGTAAGAAGTGGAAGGCGATATGGGCTGCGAGATCCGTTCTAGGCTTAGACTAAGCTTGACCGTTGAACCGCCGCAACGGCGCCAGATAAAAGTCGCCCTAGCCGTACGTACGGAGTAGTCTACGTCACAGCATTGGTTCACAAACGCTTTCAAGCCAAGCCGGCGAAGTTGTTAGGCGTCCCCCGGAGCACCACCTGGCGCCCGTTGCCCGGGATAGATGAGAAGAGGAAAGGGAAAACTTGAAGTTACGGAATGAATACATGGGTACCCGACTCGATTACCTGCTTCATCTGAAGCTGATAGATGATGGGATCCCTCGCTCATTTCAATCCCACCACCTCTCAATAGTCCATCGTTCAGTCATACGCGTCCCTGCCTTGAGACTCTACCAGCACAAAAACATGGAAAGAAAATCGAATCCTTCCTGGGATACCTCTTCTGTGAGACCGAGGCCCGAACCTAACCAATTTGAGACCCCCGGGGGGGCACGACCATAAATCTCATGAATGTATATAGAGATAGATATTGTATATACATTACATGGCCAATCTCTTTCCTCACTTGAGCTGTTTGAGAATCTCGCTCAAAAAGTCCTCGAAACTGAGGGTGATGTAGCCGTCGCGGTCATCGTCATACTTCTTGAAGACGTCCGTCATGCGCTTGAGGGAGATGCAAGCCTGGACGAACAAGTCGAAGCTCATGACGCCCTCGCCGCGTTTATCGTACGTTCGGAAGAGCAGCTCGACGAAGCCCGGGCTGAGGCGGTAGCGGAAGGCCACGAGGGCGTTCGAAAACTCGTCGAGAGAGATGTTCCCGGAACGGTCGACGTCGAAGCGGTCGAAGAGCGTGCGCCACGAGGCGAGGAAAGACCAGAGGCCACAGAATTCCGAGAAGCCGATGGTGCCGCTCCGGTCGCTGTCGAACATGCGGATCATCATGCGGATCGTCTGGGGGTCGAAGGCGGTCCAGTCGCCGTTGACCAGGGCGGCGGAGAGTTCGCGTTCTGAGAGCTGGCCGGTGCCTGTATGTTGCAAAAGGATAAAGTGATTAGCGGTCGGGACGCCCGATGAACTCGGCTCGGGAATATCAAGGAGGAGGGATGAAGCTTGCCGTCCTTGTCTACGGCGCGGAAGAGTGGGAGCAGCGTCGGGTCTGCGCCGTCGGCTGCGTCCGGGTGCGGAGAAGGAGGGGGTCGCGAGCTGGGCTCAGGGCGGCCGTGGTGCGCAGGACGTGGTCCGCCGGTAGGTGGAGGGGATGTGGCGCCATATCCGTGACTGGGCTGCTGCTGGACGGGACTTAGGGTGGGATTACGGCGCGCATCGTCGGGACGTGGTAAAGGAGGTTGCGGCTTGCTTTCGTAGCGAGAAGGGTAGGAGGAGGACGAGGACGGTTGAGAAGGCGCCGTATTGTGACGCGAGGGGTTCGGCGGTGTTGGTTTCGGGGAACTGCTGGTTTTCTAAGAAAAATAGGTTAGTGAGTCTTTGGGCTAAGGAAAAAACAACGAGATGTCGTTTGCAACGAGGTCTAAAACTTACCGCTTCAGGTTCTGCAAATCTGGATAGGAGAGGACGTGGTCAGTATCGTCACCGAGGGGTAAGCGGCTTGGGTCACAGGAAGGCTCAGGTCACAAACCTCGGCAGCTCGTCTGGATTGTAGGGTCTATTGTATGCCATTCTGGGCGTAGGACAGGCTAAAGCAGAAATGTGACGATCGATGGAGGGCTATTTTGTTGTACAGAGTTGGAAAAAGAAGAGAAACCACGCTCAATCAAATTGATAACGCCGTGGAACTGATTGGGAAGCCCTGAACGCGGGGCAGGCGATGTGCCTCACCTGTTGGGTGTACCTATCAAGTATTATTAAGTATACTTAATTACGCGCCAGTTACAGGCTGGGGGGATACAAGTAAAAGAGCCGCACACCTGCAGGGCATGGCTTAGCAAGGTACCTTAGGTATTGGAATGGACTAACCTGGACGGGCTATTCTAATTTCGATTTCAAGTCCTAGTATCCATGCCTTTTTATTCCTCACCAATGTACCTACGAAAGTTTGGTTGGATGTGTCGGAGATGGGAGAGGAGATCAAAAAAAAGTCGGAGGGGCTCGTAGGAAGCCCAGGGGGTATGTGGGAAGAGTTTCAGCGTCTGACAGGGCGGTTTATTAACCCCGCAAGACGGACGGATGCACGAACTCCTTCATATCACGACCCTATGGTCACTTTCTTGGCTGTATCCCGACGTTAGCTAAAGCAATTTGGGCGTGCCTGGGTACAGCGCCGAGACTTTGGCACGGCTCCCGGCAAGCATCTGAGCCATTGGTTTTCCATGTTCACAGAGTGATTGCTTATGCGTGCGTATGAGTCGCAGGACAATAAAAGGCTCGAGTCGCGTCGTTCCGAAAACAAAACTGACACTTCCTCGCGACCTGGAACCCAAGCTCTCTTTCTCGTCGCCGTTCCTCCAGGCAAGACTGGGAACGTGAAGAGAGGTATGGAATAATCGACATTTCCCTACCATCAAAATCGTTCCTTTGTTTTGACTTTCCTACTCGCCCTCTGATGCATCACGACATGACCCGGTTCAGCCATCTTTCAGCCCAGCGTCGTCCAGGACCAACCGCGTCGGGCATATGACGTGCTCAAACCAGCCCATGTGTACAGACGTGTATGTATGAGGCTTCCATGTCTCTGCTCGACGATGTCCTCACAACTCAAACCCATCGCACCTTCAATGATCTTTGGGCTGTGATCACGCAATCCAGAAGGGTTCTCACCACATCTGCCGAGACCGTCTGCTGTAAAATGGGGGCGGTTTTGGGGAAGGAGGGCACTCGTCAGAAGGCCCTCAATCCGTTCCAAGTCTTGCTCATGTCGACAAGCTCCGAACAGACACTTTACGTACCCATTCACGGCATGATCCTTGGTGCGAGACCGACAGGCACCTTACTCGTCGTCGAGGTCGTCTACCCTTACCCACCAGCCGATTTGTCAGAAATCTGGGGCGTCTCGGCCGCCTCTGCCGAACGCTATACCAGTACATGGTGTACAGGGGACAGCCGTATGGGCTCCGCCCTGGCTGCCCCTCCACCCTTCTTCCCCAAATCCCCTCACCCACTCCAGTCAGTGGTTCTTCGTCGTTCTGTCCCAGGCTACCCCTCCACAACTACGCTGCCTCTGAGAGCAATTTTACCTAGGTACCTTACCTCATTCATAGGTACCCGGGAACCAGAGACCCGCCCCTTTAGGACTACCTTTAAAGTACTTACTCCGTACTTGACCTGCTAACCTCCACAGACAGCATCTCAACGGCCTAAGTGCTTGAGCAAGGGGCTCTTCTCTGCTCTGTCGTGATCTCTTCCTAGAGACTTGTATCCGTGTCTTCGCTACCTATCACGACAGCCCGAGCATTCCCTGCTTCATTCATATCATCACATAGCATTGATTCACTTTTATTTCAACTCGAGACAATGGGCAGCGCCGAGAATGTGCTCACAACCGATCGCGATGAGTTCTGGCTTTTCGGTTATGGGTGCGTTATAACCAGACCGCCGCTAACCCTGTCTTGAGAAATCCATTACGGACATCAGATTTGATTTAAAGCACTGTTCTTGATTGTCTCGTCTGATTTCGCCTCTCTAGGAGTCTAATATGGAAACCACCTCCTCACTTTGGTATGCTCAGTCTTATTCGGCCCGCCCGTATCAATGTACGTTCAGAGATACCATACAGCATGCTTATGCTTCACCAGACAGGAGAATCCCCGGCTGGGTGACAGGTTATGTCCGGCGTTTCTGGCAGGTCTGTTACAATCTCCCCCCATTTCTTTTCCTTCAAGTTCCGACTAACCACCATTCACTTCTAGGCAAGGTACGGTTCCCTCTGCTCTCTTTGATACGTATCTTATATTGCAGACCGGGATTTCAGAGTCGGCAGAGACGCCCCTTGTTGTATCCGAGGTCACCAAAAGCGGCAACAGAAAAACTGACTGGGAGGGCCTCCCGTGCTCGGTTCTTCTACAGCCAAGACCATCGCGGCACCCCGGAAGCCCCCGGCCGCGTCGTCACCCTCCTCGAACGTGACTACTGGGCCAGCCTGACCGACCACCATGACCACGCCCCGGACCGCGTGTGGGGCGTAGCCTACCGGATCCGACCGGACCGCGTCGCCGAGGTCAAGGATTACCTCGACATCCGGGAGATCAACGGCTACACCATCCACTACACCGCCTTCCACCCGGCCCCTCCTACCACTGCATCCCTTTCCGACTCTCCTCCCGACGAGCTCCCTCGCGCGTACCACGACGGCGCCGCCATCCAGACCCTTGTCTACATCGGCACCCCGGACAACGATCAGTTCACAGGTCCCCAAGACCCTCAGGCTCTCGCCGCCCACATCTACAAGAGCGTCGGTCCCAGTGGCCGCAACATCGATTACCTTTTCAACCTCCACGAGGCTCTCGAACAGCTCAGCCCCGAGAGCGGCGACGAGCATATCCGAGACCTGGCCGAGCGCGTGCAAGCCATAATAGCCGCCGAGGAGTCACGTGGCCACGATCCCCAGTCCGAATTACCCGAAACCAGCGGTGAATTTCAGAAAAACGCCAGCACTGAGGAGCAGGAGGAAACGGAGAAAGATGCCCCTGGGAGCTAAAATGTCTCGGGTGGATGGCGCGTGGGTGGGGTCAACGAAAAAAAAGTCTCCTTCAGCAATATGTCCTTTGGTCTCTACCTGGGCCCTGACCATGTTTCCCTCCCATTCCGTATACCCTTTGTACCTCACGTTGACCTCTTCTCCCTACCCTCGTTCGCACCCTTCCGTGATATCCCCTCTCCTAAACCCGTGCGGAGGACAAGCTACTCATAGAGAGACATCCAGGTAGACGTTAGACCCTCAAGAATCCGTTTTCTCCGCCAGTGCCGAACCGGCCCCTCGTTCGCCCTTCCATATCTACCCATGTGCGATGAAAGAAGAAACCGAAAACAAAAAGAGGCCGCAGCGGAGAATAGCTGGCAGCCTGAAGAAGCCGGAAGAAAGGACGGTCCGATGAGTCTTGAGTCTGTGTCGACAATAGCAGAAAACAGAAAGTGGACGAGTAATACCTTGTAGAAAAGAAGGGAAAACAAAAACCCGAAAAGAAAGGAAAAAACAAAGGCAAGACAATCCCCCAGAAAAACCTAGGACCGTGTCGCATTGCTAGTCACCAATTCCACGACGTTACACCGCGTTACTTTTCTCTCTCTCTATTCAACACCACGCGTCATAGTCCTACGCGCAACACCAGAGCCGGGTATCTTTTTGTTGCAGCAGAAAATCACGGATATCGGACACTCGTCGATCGGACAAATAGAAGGACGGACTGGTGGACGAGGCGAAATTGACACAAGCGTATCGTCGGTTGCGCTCGGCGAGTTATGGTGGGTGTCAGATACCCCTCGAGACGAGATGGGCTCTCAGAATGATTAGGTTGTGATGGTGAATGTTGAGCGGGCAAAGGACTCTCCGAGTTCCGTCGTGGCCGTACACTGCAGCAAACTAGTAGCCACCGCCATTGGGGGGCGGGGGCTGCTGCTGGGGTTGATTCGAGTACCCATAGCCACCGGCGGGAGGACCGCCGGGGTGACCATAGGGATCTGGGAATCGGGTTAACTAACGCAAGGACCCAGAATATATGGCGAAGTGGTTCTTACCCTGAGGGTGACCTTGGGGAGGCATGCCGTACGCGGGTGGAGGGACGAAACCTCCTCGGCCGTAGGCCGGTGCGTACATGTTGGGAGCGGCCATGGGATAGCCCTGGGCCGGGGCAGCTGCGTAGGACATGGGCGCGCCCGCACCGTAGCCGCCGCCTCCGCCTCGACCGCCATATCCACCCCCGCCACGACCGCCACCAAACCCGCCTCCCCGGGGACCGCTGTCGGAGGCCTTATCAACGCGGATTTGGCGCCCATCGAACCTGAAAGAGGAAAAGAGCGATTAGCCACTGACGTCGTCACGAGAGCTCGCGCGCGCAATAAGCAGTGGCGGCGGCGGTAAAGCGTACTCAACGTTGTTCATGGCGGCGATGGCCTTCTGGGCGTCTTCCTCTTGGTGATAACGCACGAAGCCAAAACCGCGGCTACGGCCCGTGTCCCGGTCCTTGACGACCACCTTTGAAAGGTTATCTATGGTCAGCCCTCTGCTCTCGTATTCTCTCTTTTCCGCGAATATCCCTTCTTTATGATGCTGGATCTTTTGAAGATTGCTTCGGCGGTGCAAGGAAGTTGGTTCACGTCCAACGACGTCCGGGCGAGTATCACTTACAGCTTCTTCGATGGGGCCGAACTCCTCGAACTTCTGCCGCAATGTCGCTTCTTCGGTGTGCCATGCAAGGCCGCTTGGAATTGGTCAGGTCAACTAAGGGCCAAAGGGCTACCTGACTGGGGAAAACGAGGTGGCTGCACGTCAAGGGTAGTGGGACCTGAGGAGGCGTACCCGATGAATAGTTTCGCCATGTTTTTCGGCTTTTTCCTTTCCTTCGCGTTTGGAAGAAGGGAAGTTTCTCAAAGCCGAAGATCTGCTGCTCCTGGCAATGTTAGCGACTCTCGGTCGTGGCGAGTTCAAGATAGCGCAGCACAGGAATGCCGCGTCCCGATGGCTCCAAGCGAATCAGAATGCAGAAAAATGCAGGTACGATCTGCCAATGGATGGTGAACGAGTTTTTGTGATCCGATTGACAGGGCTTGCTGGAACAAGATGTGATCGAGTCGTTGTGGTCAACTTTGACCTTATATAGTGATGGTGGACGGACAACTCCCCCAGGCGTGTCAATTGTGACCAAGATGAATGGGGAAGCTGGAGGGGGAGGGGTAGGGGGGTTAGGGACGAAGACAACGATGGCAATATGCTCGTCGTTAATGCGATGGGAAAGGGCGGGTATGAACGCAGGCAGGGGGGAAATGGGTAATTTGGCGGGGTACCTCGTAACGTCTCTCCCACGCGGGAGGAGTTACCGGAATTGCCACTGCTGAGGTGTGTCGTGGCGCAGTGCGTTCGCCTTGTTTGGAGTGACAAGGCGACGACCCAGTTCAAAGTGTGCGACAATACATGACAGGGTGTTCCAAATGCAACAACTTCTCGAAATGGAGTACGGGAGGGAAGGGGAGTGGCGATTCCAGAAAAGGAACAAGGTATGGAATCGGACAACGACTCGCACCGCATTGCGTTGCAGAAAGAAGAGAGGGATGGGAACACTTAAAGAGGAGCTCGGGGACAGAGTACCAACGAAGCTGGGTTGAAGGTCCAAATGGGAAGCAAGGTAGAAGGCGTACAACAATACCGCAGAGCAGGATAAGATCCAAGTTGTGACTTGAAACTTTTGAGACGATGGATTGCACGTGAATGAAGAATATGTCGATGCTAAACAGAGCGCATGCCTTCCTTGGCGGGGTATGTCAGGCGAGAAGGAGAAGATATGATGGTGATAATTGTGAGAAGACGTGGTAGACAGGACCCGCGGTGTAGTAGGCAATAAGATAAGCGGGGGATAATAGTGGTTGCTAGCCTGGTAGCAGCAAAACTAATAAGTGAGGAAGGGAAGAGACTTCCTAGCTTCCTAGCCACTGGCGCGGAAGGATGGGAGTGATGAGGTAAAAGGCCAGATCCATGCTAGCAAGAGGTAATGGTGGACCACCAACCCATTGCATTCGTACGAAGTGGTGCATTCCCCATCTGCCTTGGCAGAAACAAGAGATCGGTAGGGATCCGAATGGCACTTGCTCCGTAGCTGCTTTGACTTGGAGCGTAAAGACATGGAAAACAGTGCGTAAAGTGATGTAAGGTAAGGTATTTACCTTGTCCCGGTTACTGCAACCTCAGAGGGAAGGCGCTGGGGACATTTAGGTAAAGAAGGGAAGAAAGAGATGGGAAAGAGGTGGGAAGGAGCGTTGGCAGGTCGGCGACTGCCAAAGGTACCTCATTCAATTTCCCAAGGTGGGAGACACGCTTGGATACGACTGAAGGAATTTCCAACAAACAGTAACGAACAGAATGTCTTACCACTGGGAGATGTACGAAGTTTCTGATAACTTCGTCGTGATGGAAAGGAGCTGTTTGGCAAGGTCTGCTCAAACAACCGGCTGGAATCTGGGTGGGAGGACTGTTCTGGCCGACTAGAGTAGGCGAGCTCTAGAGATTTGGTCGGACTCGGTAAAGTCGATGATGGGGAAACAAGGGAAGGTCTGCAATGGAGAGAGTGAAAAAGAGAAAAAGTAGAGGAGGAAAAAAAAGAAAAGGGGATGGACGTGACCGTATCCGTATGATATGCGCAAATATTCCCGTCTCGCATCTCGAACTCAGCTAGGCCCTGTTGGTTAGGTCCTTAGCCTTTCTTTAACTTATGAGCATAGACAGGGTCTATCCTCCACCCTCCGTCCATTTTTCTGCACCTCATCGTCCTCCTATTATTTTCCTATTCTTCCCTTTCAATATATGGCATATGATTTTAATCTATATCCTTCTTTCCCCTACCTACTAACCGTTAGTTCCTTTCTGGTGTCAATCTGCCAGGGCGGGCGGCACGTAACTATCGGGGGAGGCCTGTCCTAGCATGGACATAACATCGATATCTGGATACGTTCATGTTTCGGGCACGTATTATTATAGACCCCGCGTATTTTCGAATGGACAGTGTCGCCTGGCCGATGTTTCGCCCGCCAAATGTAGCGGCAGAGCTTTGCAGCCTTCAAAACGTCTATCAAACACTAGAAATCCAGAAATCCAGAAATCCAGAAGCCTAGCAGCGCAAACGAGGCACTAATAAACGAGCATCAGCACCAGCACGAGCACGAGCACGAGCGCGGGCACGAGCAACCGAACCGCATCGTACCCTGGCAAAGTCGAAGAGGGACGGAGCAGGATCATGGCGTTCAGGAATTAACCATGAGGAGGCGAGGCGAAAGACCTCTTGTGCTAAATAAAGCTGGCTGCAGGTCAGACTCGGCAGGCACAGGATGGGAGATTGATGGCCTGTGTGTACGTATGTATCCGTAGTACAGACGTACGAATACTACTCGTACTTTTCGTACATCTCTCGTCTGTCTTCCCTGGCTGCTTTGGTGCTCACTCTCGTACCGTACCTAAGGTACGGAGAATTCGTACAAAGTACATGCTAGTCTCGGGGGGGGCCTGGGCTCCCGGTTTCTGCACGTTTGGGGGGGGGTCCCTCATCTGGCAGACCGCAGCCCACAGACGCTGCAGGTTTTAGAACCACCGCCGAAGCTTCTCCACCGAACATCGTTCTCACTCCCAGACAACTGAACTTCGTAACTGGTCCACTCTGGCTCGCTTCCGTAATTTCTTGTTAAGGAGGGGAGGGGGGGCACGGGGAGATTAGCGGCACCCTTCTCCTCTCCTCCACAACTCTCGTTGTGAACGGGAATGCCTGGTGATGTTGTGATGAGGAGGAGTGACGGCGTCGTGACCCCACACTTTTGCACAGCCTCCTTCGTCTTGCCCTGTTTGAAGCAGATGGGCAGGTCGCGCTCAAATTTCGACAGCGCTGTCCTCCTGAAAGAGTGGGGTCGACTACGAGCCAAACCCCTTCGCCCGTCTTATCCATATTTATTCTCGTAAAAGGACGATCGATTTGGGATTGGTTCAAAAGTCGAAAGCGTCTCCGTCGAGTCTCCCGACCGCGCTCTTGTTTCTTTGATGCGACTCCCAAGGGCCATCCAACAACGCAACAACGCAGTTTCGATACGATGATGTTGCTGGGACCCAGTGAGGCAGTGCAACATCAAACTGATCCATCAAATAAGAACGAGATCCCCCGACCCACAGCAGATCGGCATAATTCCCGTTGGCCCTAGCGCTTAGGGCCTCCCTTTAATAAGGTAAAAGCAATCGCCGCGGTGCTCCTGCATAGTGCAGTCCAAGGTGTTTACATATCCATACCAGGGGCAAAAGACATCGAGTCGAGAACCCCTGTGCTCACTCTTCCTTCCAGGCCCTCTATTATGTCATCTGCCGTATTATGTCATCTGTCATTAGGTGCGCCGTTTGTACATTGTAACGGGATCTGTACGTAACTTTCTTGTCAGGGATTGAAAGAGTACGAAATTATCGTGTACAAGCCAAAGACTCCTTGCGGTTTGCTAGGTAGTCAACAAAATCCGCACTTCAGAAGTCGTTAGGTATTTGTATTAGCAGTCTCTCATGGAGTTCAATTGGCTCCCATGGTTGAAAGTGTTCTTTTGCTTTGGACAATTAAACAAAAGGTGGGGGTTAAAGGGGGGCTGCATGGTTAGCCAGAAGGTGAAACGCGGTGCACATCATCGGCCTAAAGCCCGACTTCGGTTGGAAAAGAAGTCGTTAGGCTCGGATTATTATCACGTGACTATACTCGTGCCTTCGACACGAACGTACCCGCCCGAGGCATATGACGTTTATCTTAGCAGGTCGCCGGTTATGTATAACGTGTCCCTGCAGTCATATCACAGATAACCTCCTTAATGTATCTCGTCGTGGGACTATGGTCTCCACGCAACAGTGCTCGTCAAGTACGTGTTCCTTGAGCAGCATCACGGCGTATGCCATGGCATGTTAGCTTTATTGAAAAGAGAGAGAGAGAGAGAGCGTCGTTGTTACGAAGATCCGAAGAATGGCGGGCGTGAGAGCTACTGCTATCACGTGCGCGAGGGCTGATGATGTCAGAATCGGATCACAGACACGCCAAAGGCATGTTTCAGCACTTGCTAAGGTACATGATCTGATCTTCTTCACCAGACCCGGGCAATCACGACGAACTTAAAATATCAAGCGTACCTTATTAAGTCTAGGCCCTGGGAAGTAGCAGGCAGCTCTATTAGGAGAATACGAACTCTACTCGGCGTGTCGGATAGCCCGAGAACATTAACCACAACATGGAACCTTGCTCAGCAGCTATGCGGGGACCAAGGTGCGTCGGGGGCAGCCGGCGAGAGAGTTCGGAGCCCGCATTTGCCTAACGACTTCTTACCACTCTTCCTCTGCGCCGGGGAGGGCTACTATTAGCGACGGATATTCAGTCGACACTGCCGCGTGGGGACGCAGAAGCCCCGTTGTACCTGCCATATGCCCAGGAAGATGCCGTATCCTTGCGTTTCTCCTCCTTTGGCACGGGAATTCCCAGCCAGCTCTAAGTTTGCTGGATATCACCATCCCTCTTCAGTAGAAAGCATGGTGTCTGACGCCTCAGAGTCGACAGTCACGTTCTCTTCTGACGACCATGCGTCTCTATGGCTGTTCAAGAGGACAGCGGCTCTGACGCCCATTCTAAGAAATTTGAACGTTGGCCGCATCACAAGTAAATTCTTCTATCTGTCAACATACCCGTACCTTTGTGGGTCTTCCGGACACCCATTCGCCTCAGCCAAAGAATAAGTCCTAACGGCGACGACACAGGGAATGGACCTCCGACACTCGGCTCGCAACGATCATCGGCACAAGCGCCACGGCCGTGAGCACCCCAAAGACCCTCATTCTCGGAAACCAAATCGGGGTCATTCTAACAGCAACTTTGATCCAGGTTGTGGTGGCAGCGGGGAATACGGAACTGGTCGGAGTCAGGACTTCGTTTGGAAGTGGTTGGGGGAGACAAATCGTCAACGTGAAAGGTCAAGTCCAACCCCCCGGTTTGATCGCCACGACGACCGTATCTCCCGAGGCCCTTTGCCTCAGGCAGACGAACCTCTGATTCAGGTCCCGCTTGGTAGAAATAGTCGGCCTGGGAAACGACCTCTTTCTCCCCGTGCTGACGGCGTCGGAGATCATCAAATTGATTGTCGGCACGGATCCCTCGATGCAAAAAGGAGGATCGTGAGAGGTGACCGAGACTCACCCTTGCAAGCCCGGCCGGTATCCCCACTCGACCTTGCGGACTCTGATGGATGGAGCGATTCCCCTTCTCAAACTTTCGAGAAACGCCCGAGACATAAAACGCGAGAGGATAAATATGACAGGGAAAGGAAACCTCGCGGCACCAGGAAACACTCCGAGTCATCCAAACCCGGAAAACCGAAACGTCGCAAAGAGGTCGCCAAGAAACAACTCGCGTCACGTCGCGAGGTCATGAACAATTTCACGTCCCAGACAGTTCGGAGTGACCGAGTCACAGTAAGTCAGCCAGCATGGAGAACAAGAACAATCTCAGCGTCCCAGCTGACAACAGGCCAGCTACACCCAGGGGCTACGCCGGGTATCTTCCAGAATGGGCATTTTTCTTCGAATAACCACAGTGAGTGTATCTGGCGGATCGCAGGAGCTATAGGCATCTGGCTGACAGACACCAGCCGAAGATCTCGCCCATGTGGGAATGGACTGGACACCCCAGGTCAACCATCACCAGAACGTGACCAGACGATCGTCAAAGTCCCGCGACAGAGAAAAGAGGAGAAGAGAGAGGGAACTGGAGGACATGAATGCGTACTTTAGACCCAGGAGCGTATCAAGATTGGAGCGAGGGAGGACTAGACACACCAATCCCGGGTCGGATGCTAGCGATGACGCGACACAACAATCGCCCAAAATATGCCGCAGGTCAGTATCTACTTACAGTCAAGCCACGAGTTACCACTGCCGGTCCTTGAGCCAGCCGTCTCGAGATAGACGCCAAGGAAAACATGGCAGTGGGGTTAGTCCACCCAGACGGAGTGGCGACCTTTATGATGTCGGACAAGATCTTCAGAACACGGGAGTGTCAAAGGATGGATTCAGCCTCCAACATCAACGAGGGCGGTCCCGTCGCCCCTCCAGCCATTTGATTCCTTCGCCGGTGCTTAATAGTGCAGGAGACACAAATCAGAAACTAGTGACATCGCGACCTCCTCCCATCATTCGGTATGTGGACAAGGGCGTCACAGCAACGGTCGAGTCCATAGACTGTTGCAAAGTAACAGGAGATGGACCAGCTATTGAATACGATGCCCTTCCCTCGCTCTCGTGTTCTGGGCCTGACGCTACATCCAACTGCTTGCCGGGACCCTCAGTCCCCCCAGAAACCAATGAACGGGACGATGCTACACAAACAAGGAGCATTCAGCTTAGCAACCAGCAATCAACGACAGAAGAGGCGCTGGTGCGAGAAGCAATCGCCCGACGAGCATACATGGAGACTCCTGGGAATAAAGGGGTTCCCGCTCCCTCATCATCGCTAGACCCCGTTCGAATTCAGTTAGCACCCACCGACAACCACACAGGGGAAGCGGCTGAACGCATTGTGGACGTCGGCTACACCCCATGGTCCAACCGTGCTTCAAGTATACAAAGGTTTCGACCTCCAGAGGGCCAGCATATCCAGTACTCCTGCGCAGCCAACCGGGACGAGAACAGTCTAGCGACTAGCGCTACGGCCATGGCTGGTACAGCCAGCGTGCATGTCAGCGTAGCAGGACAGCATCCGAGCACCCCGCGGCCAACGAGTGCCAATGGGACTACTAACCTCAAACTGACGTCAGTAGAGGACCTAGCTATTCGCAACCCCATGGGAAGATGGGTTCCGGAAGATTCCAGAATGATGTGCACAGAACGACCTGAGCTTCGTCTCTCAAGGGAATTCTTAGACTCAGGGCACATGTATACAAGCGCTGGACAGGGCACCGACAATGATATTTCTCGGCTGGACAGAGAAGTCTTTCACGAACACGTTCTACGAAGGCGAAGAGGCTTTCCGGAATGGGATATAGTGCCCAACTACGGCCGACACTCCCCGCCACTTTTCATGCAGAACCGCATTCCGAGCGAAGAGACCTACGAGACGGAGACATACGATCATCCCTTACATGGCGAGGCTGACAAGAGACAAATGTTCCTGTCTCAGGCAGAGCTCGAGGTTTCGGCAGACGCGAGTCTGCGACGTCATGGTCTTCGCCCATTGGGTTCTCTGAACTCTGATGATAGAGGCTTGGGCATGGCGACGTTCTGGGGAGCAAATTCCCTCATATAAACTAGTAGGTATTGTCTTTACTCGGGCTCTTGATTCCTCCATCTTTCTCGGAGACGACCGACATCAATCTGGCACCTTTCCGCCTTATCGAGGATAGATTTAGCCCTCCCCACGACCGGGGCATCTATCATCATGCCATCAAGTGTCCAAGCACCGCGACCAGAAGAGGTAGCTTTCGCATCGGCGACTAGGATACGCACCGCCCACTCGACCTCGGCCTCGTCTGGGGCGAATAGCTTCTGAACAAGGTCGACCTGGCTAGGGTGGATGCACTGTTTCCCGTTAAACCCCATGGCCTTGCCCCCTTCGCACTCCTCGCGAAGCCTCGCTAGCCCAGCATCGCCCCTGAAAGAGGTGCAGACAAGGTCGATGGCGCTGGGCAGACCTGCCGCCCTTGCAGCCGTCACAATGGCGGACCGTGCATAGAGGAATTCCGTGAGCGACGGGGTTCGTGTCAGAGAGAGATCTTTGGCGAAATCCTCGGCAGCGAAGATCAGCCCACTGAGATACGGGGTGGCGTTACAAATCTCCCGGAGGTCCATGACCGCTTTGGCGGACTCGACGAGCGCAATTATCTTGATAGGGTTCTTAGAGTCCTCCGCGTGCCTCTCTGGGGCCACATGGCGCAGCACGTCAGTCACAAAGGTCAGGTCGGCGCTAGAATCGACCTTGGGGACCACGACAGCGTCGACATTCGGCAGTGATGCCAGGTTGGTGAGGTCATCTAGAGCAAATGGAGTCCGAACTCCGTTGATCCGGACAGCCACCTCTGCGACTGAGGCCGGACGCGTCTTCTGAGCCGAGAGGAACGATCGCAGCTGATGTCGAGCATCTGGTTTACGCGCCAAGGTCACGGAGTCTTCCAAGTCATATGTTACGTTGTCGGAGATGAAGCCCATGGACTTATTGAGCATTTTCCCCGACGAGGACGGAACTGCAGGAGTAATTAGTTTAGAACTGGTGTTGTGTATAGGGACAACAACAAGAAGATCAACCGTAGAGGAGTGCTCGTCGTAGAATAGACGTAGACTTGGCCGGAAGCGCCATGACGATGACCGGTTATGAAGAGGGCGCCGTTATGGATATATAAGTATTCGGGGGTGAGATGAGAAGTATGAAGCGAAGTGTATAAGCTTGAATTCCATCAATGGAAGTACAAGATCAATTACGATCCAGTCGAGTCGCAGGAGTCCCGGCGTATGATACCGGTACGCGATACGATTGAGAGCTCGGCGTCGAGAACGGCGTCGGATATCTTGGCACTGATGACGTAAGGTGTCGACAGGGTGTGGAACTAGGCTCCCTTCGGAATAACCCCGGCTCCATTTAGGAACAGCTTACACTTAACATAAGGTACCTACCTAGATACATCGCTCTACCTTTTCGGCCAGTACAAGCAAAGGGAGCTCGCGACGCAGCGTATCCGTATTACCACGATTGTCCCTCCCATACACGTCGACCTACTCCATACACAATTCATATTGATCGATAATCGTGACCAGCGACTGTACAGGAGCAGGGAACGGCAGAACAGGATTCGAAACCACACTCTGGCGAGAAACTCGATAGCGGCTTGAAGTGAAACTGCTGACGGGGCTTGCGTGCAACCAAGAGCGAAGCTTCCACTTTCTCGGTCTTCCTCCCACCCAACCTCCCTCGCCTCCTCCCACGATGGATCCCGAACGCAATGCGCCCCATCCAGAAGGCTCTCTGAGTTGGCGGCTCAGTTCTCACCCCATTACTCTGCTGACGTTCTTGGGGTTCCGGATATGTGAGCTCGCGCCCCTCTCCCTTGCTCCCCGGATTGGCTACGAATACCGACGAAACGATGCGATGCCATGAATGGGGATGGACTGGTGGAATGGGAACCAGGAAGAAGGGAAAGATGAAGGCTAACGGCAGGCTATCAGCAAGCGTGCTCGTGTACTTCCTCGGTCTTTGGATCATCAAAAGCATGTACGTCACTGCTCCCCCCTCTCGTTTCTCTATTCTCTCCCCGAAGCATCAAAGCATCTTGATTTTCGGTCTTGTGTGCTGGCAAACATTCCAAGATATCTAACTCGAAAGGGGCAAAAAAACAGGATCATGATCTTCATCATCACCATCCTCCTCCTCGCCGCGGACTTCTACTACCTCAAGAACATCGCCGGGCGCCGTCTCGTGGGCCTGAGGTGGTGGAACGAAGTCGACCCTTCGACGGGCGACTCGAAATGGGTCTTTGAGAGCAGCGAGCCGGGGACCAAGATCATCAATGCGACCGATAGTCGCTTCTTCTGGCTTGCGCTCTATGTGCAGCCTCTGCTCTGGCTGTTGCTGGCCATTTTTGCTCTAGTGAGGCTACAGTTTTTGTGGTTGCCTCTCGTGGGTGCGTCTCTCCCCCCCTTTCCCTCTTTTTTTTTTCTTTTTTTTCTTTTTTGTCCCCTCGACCTCTTACCAAATTGGACGAAAGATGTCTCGCGTGTGAAGTTTACGATTGGCTTGGAATTTGGAATCACTAACTGGACATGTCGTGGATACAGTCATTGCTCTCGTCTTGACCATCATGAACACCCTCGCCTTCTCCCGCTGCGACAAGTTCAGCCAGGCCTCCAACATGGCAGGCAGCGCGTTCTACTCCGGCGGCCTCGCGGGCAACATTGCGTCCAACATGGTTGGCCGCTTTTTTAACCGTGGTTGAAGCTACCCATTCAGGCGTTGGAAATGAAAACAACGGGACATGCGATGGTATATGATTATGGGTCACTGGGGTCGCAGGCCGACGATATCTCCTATTTCGAACGGCCAAAAGGTTTCGGGCTCTGAATAGCCTCGAACTCGTGGGACGCAAAGAGAAGGAGACAAGACGGGAAGAAGGACAAGGGCATAGGGGTATAGGGTTGTTGGTTACCTTCATGTTCCACTCTCGGCGCCAGACAGTTTGTCTTTTTGCGGGGCTTTATCAATACCCGCTGAAGTACCAGAGGGAGGTATGCGAACGGCTTGTCTTTTTCGTTTTCTCCAAAATTGAAATACTTCATGCCATCTTGACAGTCATATGAACTACATGTAAGGGTATAGGGAGTATTCCTGATGTTTATGCCGTCTCATAGCAGGACATAAGAGAAGATAACATACAGCAATCATGAGTGGGTGCAAAACTGATAGGCGAACAACTTCGCTCTCTTCTTATTCTTATTCTGTCTCGACGCTCTCTCTTCGCTCTTGTACGTTTCACACACCAGCCATTCGCTATGTACAACTTTTTGGCCCCAAGCCTGGACACGTGCCCAAGATGGCAAGCAGGAAAGTACAGTAGTGGTATCCAAGAAACGAGGGGGTAAAAGTAAATCCAAAGGCGTGCTTCAACCCGTCCCCCTAGACCTCTGAGAGAAGAGGTGACGACGTACGGCGCCCTGTGCGCCCTATTCGCTAGATAACCCAGCCGAACAACAATGAAACGAGAAAACAAAAAGGGGAAAAAATACCCCGGAGAAACGCCATGCCGACTGAAGATATCCAAAATGGCAAAAGTCCGACCGTCACCCCTGATTGACTGGCACGCACTCATTCACACACACACACACACACACACACACACCTACTCTCTCTCTCTCTCTCTCTCTCTCTCTCTCTCTCTCCCGCAACCCTCTCATCTCCCTGTCCGTCATGATGCTGTGCGTCGACCTTGAGCAGCTTGAATGGCGTCATCCAGGGCCCGTTCCTCTTCCTCCAACCTCCGGATCTCCTCCTCCGTCATACCCTCCTCGATGAGGTGCGACACGTTAGGCGTCACCGATCGAGCGCCCGACCGGGGTTCGGAGCCGACCGGTGACTGTTGTGTCGGCGAGTTGGAATCCGAGAAGGGCGCCACGACGTTCGACGACCGGCTGGCCGGGGCCGCATCGACGTGGTCGACGAGCGGGACGCCCTCGCGCGTGTGGTTCGACTGGTGGCTCCGGAGCTGCTGCGGCGGGAACGTGCCGTCTTCGGAGTAAGGGGAGTGCGGGGATTCGGCGACGTTGACGTGGGTCTCCTTGTTGGCGGCTTGCTGGGAGGTGGCCGCGTCGGAACCGTAGGTGCCGGGCCGGCCTAGGGTCTTGCCGCTGCGGCGACGGCGGCGGCGGCGGCGGCAGCAGAACCAAACGAGGGCGCCGATGAGGAGGAGCCCGGCGATGCCTGCGCCGACGGCGATGCCGATGATGGCGCCGGTGGAGAGACCGGAACCGTTGCTGGGAGGACCCGACAACTCACCCGGGGTGGTGGGAGCTGTGGGATCCTTTGTCGCTGTTGGATCTGCTACGATGGTGGTGGACGAAGGATTGAATGCGTCGATCATTTGTTGAAGAGCCTCCGGTAGAGTTTCGGTTTGAGTGGATTCGCCGGACCGAGGATAGCGCTGCACCCGACCGTTGTCGATTTCAAAGTTGCCAGACATGCTCCAGCCATTCTGAGACTCGACTGAGCCTGGTCTGAAGGCCCAAGTCAAGTTCAATGCTATATCTGTATCGAAGTGGTGGGAGGAATCAAGTCTGCTGATGTCCAGCTGGGGAGGCGTGGATGGGGTAACTGTGGCTATTGGTGAGTATGAGAGTATGAGCCCATCGACACGGAGAGGCTGTATATCACAACTTACGTTCTCCATTGCCTTGACGAGGCCGCAAAATGCCTAGAACGGCGCCTGGGGTTTGCCTCCCATCGCCGAGGGGTTCCCAACTAGAAGATTTATTGTGGCTGGGTTGGTATAGCCATGTCTCGCCGACGACTGTGATGACCTCTGCCAGCCTCGGATCGATTTCGTAGTTGAGCACGATGCGGCTGCTGTCGGCATTGTCGTCGGCCGGATTGGGCTCGAAGTTGATGACCATGAAGGTCCCCGACGATGGCGTCGCTCCGGGTTTGTTGGTGGACATGCTGGGTGTTGCGATAGTACCGGTGGGAAGGGTGAAGGATGGATGGGGCAGTGAGTCGGGAGTTCTGGTATCATCACACAAGTCCTCTATCAAGCAAGCCATGATCGGGCTCATCAAGCTTGAGGGTAGAGGGATATCGATGAGACTGTTGACGTCCTCGATGAGGTCGGAGAGCAAGGGGATATTCTCGATGGGAGGATCGTCGTCGCTGATTTGGGTCTTTTCTGCGGTGTGGTGAGGAGGCGGCCCCATTTGCTAGATTGCAATCGAGCACGGTTGAAAGTGACTTGTAGTGCGTGTTCGACGACAATCCGTCTCGGTCGTTTCGACGTTCTTCTGTTGTCCTGACTAGGTGTTTGTTGACGTGACACCTAACGAGGGGAGTCAACTTCTGTCTGGCTGTCAGGGTTTGTCTGGGGACAAGCGTAAGACCCCGGTAAGACGAGACGCAGAGCGGGAAGAAAGGGGAGGAGAAGAAAAAAAATTGAGAGGCGTACAACGCACTCGCTCCCGTAAGAGCAGGGCAAAGAAGGAATCGGATAGGTGGGATTTTGCTGGGCTGGGCTGCTGCGCCCTGTCAGCATTAGGCGGGACCCCTGGTCTGGTCTTTTGCAGAGTGGACTAAACGGTGATGAGACGGGGGGGCGGGGGCTTATGGGGCACGGGGCTGAATTATGGTAACGAGTCGACCCTTGGTCTCGAAAGAGTTTCCAAGCGTTCCCGAGAGAGGAAGGAGTGGATGGGGTAATTAATGAGCTGGTACAAGGGTACAGTCACGAAGTACGTGATAGTATTGGTTCGTTCGGGGGCCGGATTAATTAGTGTACTTACAAGGTACTTTCGCACAGAGACCAATTGTCGAGCTCTTTGAAAAATCGAAAGAAAGTCCTGAAGCACTGGGCCAATAAAAGGGACCTAGACGAGATCCAGTTCCTATATTTGGAACCGTAGGGCAGGCACAAACTCTCCACCTTTCTCCACCAGCAGAGCAAGCACGTCGTCCCTCGTTCTTTTGTACGAAGGTAGTGCCAGATGTTGTCTGTTTGGAGATTTGCGCGTGTTTGTTTTCAGGTCGAGAAAGCGGCGGCAAGAGACTGCGCTAATTGGAAGAGGCCCAAACCAACAGTGTTTGTTGGGCTTGTGCTGCTTTTGGAAGCCGTCGTTCAGTCGAATGATTATTTCTCGAAAAGGGTCGTTTGAAAAGGAGCGCCGAGTTGTGTGCGTTGGTTCTCTTGACGTACGCTAATGTCTGGATTTCGCGTTTCGGGGAGCGTAGAGGAGATCGGTTGTCGAAACAGTTGGAGCTTGAGGTGTCGAGAAGTCGTGAATGATGAGATTCCTGGGAAGTGACAAAAATGCGAGAGAAATCGAGAAAATCTTCGAGTCAAATGTAAGGTTCAGGCGAAGTATGCTTCCCATTTTTATTTGTATTGCCAAGTCGATGTCTACCTGTTCTCACGGTCATGCCTTTGGATTCCGGAGGTCCGCAACGGAGACTATGGACCTGACCGACGGGGACCACGTTGGATCAGACATCGCATTTGCTGGATTCAGATGTGGCTGCTGTGCCGGCCCACGCCACTACACGTGTAAAGTCCCCCTAACGTTATGTACGTCTCCCTGTATCCGTAACTACAACGTACTGTTCCTTTGGCCCTAAGGTACTTCACATTCACATCTCGTGCAGCAAAAGGTACCTTGGTGTAGAGAGCAGTTGGGTTCACGGACTATCCCCCGTCCTTTTGAGATGCGGCCAACTTCGATTGTCATGTTGCACCTTGACCGGATGAGTGTTCAATGGGGGGCTAACCACCAAAGGTGACCTTAACCGCCGACCGCCCTTGCAATCCCGAGGTTATCCAACATTCCACGTTTCATCACCAACCTAACAGACAGACCACCGTCGCATTGTCCGTAAGACAAACCAGCCAGGACCATGGTTCTACATCGACATGCTGCCTGCTTTCCCTCGACAATCGGCTTGAGTCCCGAATAGAAACATCCCTCCTGTTTCTCCGCCGTACTGTGCTGTTCTGAGACCCGTAATACAACAGCAGCAGGGAAAAGAGCGAGCTAATTATACCCAACACGCTCTCGGCCGCTGCCGGTAGTCGGAAAGTAATGCGTCGCGTAAACCGCTTTGTTTCATCCTGCTGGACATGGACTTGATTCTTTTCCAGACCTCATCGAACTTCATCTGATCCTATTTGCTCGAGAAGTTGACTCGGTTCAGTGGTTCATACTCCAGAGAGATGGTTACCAGGGAGTGAGTGAATTGTCCAGGGCTTTTCGTTCTGATTATTCTAAGCAGGCGCCACGAAGGCCAGACAGATAGATGGACGATAAATTCGCGATATTCCTCGGTGCCAATCACTCCACTCCCTCGAAAACGAGTTGACAGCTTCTGGAAACATGGATTTCTGGGGTTCTGGCCGGCCTTCCCGAGACGAGTCCTTGGCTATCCATGCTGTGTGTCGATGAATCGGCGCAGAGCCGACGGCGAGCGGCGGGCCAAGCTTGTCTTGGCAGAACCGCCTGTCGGGGCACATCGCCGAAACCTTCCCGAATGACGCTTATGATGTTCGCGAATCCAGTGACGAAGAATTAAAACGCCCGGAACCGTTCCATGTCATGAGCTTCTGCCGCGACCACCCTAATTTGGATCAGAAGAAACGGAATCTCGACTGAGCATGTTCTATGGTGCTTTTCTTCGAACAAGTGCAAACCCATGGGTTGTCTCTATTATCTTCTTCTAAGCCACCTGGTAAGTACACAGAGTGTGAGTTCTATTCTTTCCTGGGGCCCCATGTTGGCTTCTCGCATGCGAAGAGAGCCAAAGGTTGCCAGACGACAAATCGTTCGAAAATCTGACTAGAAACGCCACAAAATTTCGAAGTCAATGGGGGTAAACAGGACGAGCCAAACTTGTTCACTGGCTCGTCAAGTTCAGTCGCCGGCTTCCTTTGTAACCCGTGAATTCAATCGATCATCATCCGCTGCTGGCGTATTACATCAATAGCGAAGATAGGTATGCGGATTAATCACTCCTTAATTGACTCCCCCGAGCTGCCGAATCGCAGGTGAGTGGACTCGCCTGCTGGTTATTAATTAGGTTGGAATTTGGACTTCTCGGTCGTGCCATCAGAATCGGGTTTCTCCCAGGCCTGGCGGATCCGACCACCTCTGGTTGAAACCACTCCTACGCAAATGTCATCGATATCTCCTTCTCCTTTCCAAAGTCCTCGTCATCTGGATCGCCCCAAGGATCCTTGAGCGTCATGTTCGGCATTGTTTGGGATGATTTCATCTCCGGCCTTGATGCCGGCTTCAAGTCATCCTTTGGTGGAGGAGGAGGTGGCGGTGGAGGACCCTGAAAGGAGGTATCAAACGTCATGGAGATCTCGTCGTCTCTGTAAGGCTCCGACGTTTCGACGTAATAGGGAGAAGAGGCCCGGATCTTCGAAGAAGCTGTCAAGAGTTCCCGCGAGACTCTCGAGTCGTAAGATGGCCGCTGCGACAGCTCCTCCGGACTCTGGGAAACCCTAAGGTTATCCCGTGAAATACTCGGGGATGCCGACGATGAACGTATGTCGAGTTTCATGGGTGGTAGTGTCGACTGCAACTCCTTAACTTGCATCTCCTCTTTCGCCAGCTCGGCCCGGATCGCATCCACGTCGAAGAGAACCCCGTGGTTATTGCCGTGCTGGTCCTCGGTCTTCTCCCCCTGTTTCTCCGACGTGTCATATATCTCCCAATCGGCCTTCTCGAGTCTCTTTTTGCGACTGAACAGGGAGAACCGACCACCCTTTTTGGACTTCTGTCCTTCCCTCTCGAGCTCCTTGCGAGCCTCCTCGATCTCGTTGATCAGCTCTCGCTGGCGTTGCTCGTGATTTTCCGGATCAGGATCTTCAATCTCACTGAACTCGTCGCTCTCTACCGGCCAGCCGCATTCCCGCAGGAGACGAGGCATCATCCGACGATATTCCATGTGGCCCTTGACCAGGTCTGTCACATTCGTGTTCTCGATCCACGGGAGCCCCTCAATGGGAGCAAGCCCGGCCACCCGCCGAATGCCACCATTTGTGAGCCGGAAGAGATAGCCGAGAATCCAGTCATTCGTATGGTACGCATTCACAAACCGACCTGGGACGACAGTTCTGGCACGTATGAACTCGTCCTTCTTCGCCACCACCGGTGAACCGAACATGTACACGTTCTGGACCAGGCCGTACGCGCCCCGGCGGGCCAGCTCCTGGAGGCAGGAGAATATAACGCGCGCCCCAATCGAGTACCCGACGAGCGTGACCGGACGAGTGCCGAGGTTCCTGTCGATCAGGGAGTCGGCCAGGATAAGTCCCGCCGCCGTGGCCCTGTCGAGAGACACAGCCCACGGGTTGTCGATGAGGTAGGATAGCTTTGTCAGGATGACGGGCAGCTGCAGAGCCGCCATCAAGCCCATCAGAATAGTACTGCCCAAGACTTGTTGCAAACCTTGGGTGAGAGCCTGCAATGCGTCAGTATTCGTGCTTCAATGTAATGGGCGAAGGAACAAGAGCAAGGCATACTTCTGTGGCCAGAATGTTGATGGTGTCACCAGTGCTTCGCAACATCTCGGGTTCCCAGAGAACAGAGTACAAGTCGCCCAATATCGGGTCCACCGTGCTGAACGGTAGTCGAACATCATCCACCTTGCCTGTCATCCAGCCTGACACGGTGACGATGAGATGGACCCGCTTGTTATTGTGAAGCGGCCGGTACTCGAACGTCTTCACGGGCCCCGTCCTCCGGTTCGCGGCGCGGCCGCCTATGACGCTACCAGAGCTAGCCGCCGCTGATGTGATGATGGCAGCTCCTCCTATGCCGCCCAGAAAACCCGAAGTGCCAGTGACGCCGATGGTGGTGAATCCCGCAGCCAGGCCGGCTCCGATGACTGGGGCTAGTAAACCGGCCGACAGCCCGATGACGAGGCCGCCACCTACAGTGGCCAAGCCCATCATGACATATCGCTTTTTCAAAGCTTGCTTTCTCCGGTGCTCCATGTGGTCCTCCTCGTTCCAGTTCTCCTTCTCCGCTTGTTGCTGCATCTCGAGAGCATCTGTAACCCGTTTTTCGAACTTGCGAATTTCCAGCCAATCGATCTCCAGCCTCTTCCCAACACGCTCCAGGAGAAGCCGGGAGCGAGCATCATATGTTGAGTCTGAAATGAGGATAAGGAAGAGATCGCAGAGAATCGTCCAGCGAATGTCAATCTCGAGATTTTGGGTTGAAGGGAGCTGCGAGGGCATTTTGACCTCTGGCATCTCCTCAACGGGATGAGCTTCGTACGGCGTAGGTGGTTCGGCGGGTTTTTCCTCCTCGGGCCGAGTAGGCGGTAGAGCTGGGTCGTCTGCGGCAGATGAACGGGGGCTAGGCGAGTTTTTGCCTACAGCAGAGGAGGCGGAAGAGGACATGTCGTTGTCCTCGGCCATGGGATTTTTTACTCGGGCGTTGGCCATAAGGAGAGGCGTTAGGTCGGAGGGCAGCACCCCGTGCTCGCTCAGTTGCTCAACCATGATCTGTTCGGCGGCGCTGATGTCCATATGAGCGTATAGTCTGATCATCATTTTCTGACCCCACATCTTCGTGCCTTCGGCTCCTGTCGCCACTTCTCTCTTTGTGCTCCTCGTTCGTTCGATGGTCTCGGCTTCCCTGACTAGCTGGAAGATCTCTAGCCGGGTCAACCCAACGTAGGCCACCCTCTGCCCTTCCGTCAACAAATCCTTGGTAGCTTGCATCTGCGAGACAGCATCCCGCTGTTGATCATCATCGTGAAGGACGCTTGTGGTATTGCCCTCCTTGAAGAGATACTTCGTGTTTTCGTCCATGCTGGTGGCCGACTCGGCATCATCATCCATGATGACGCGAGTGTAGCCCTTTCCTGCGCCTCCAAGATTCCCGTAGCCGTACTTTTCTTCATCCTCTTCCTCAACGGTGTGTTCTCTGGCTATCAACTTGTTGTTGTCGTCATAGATATCGTACGGAGCAAATGCTGGCATCTCCTGCCAGCTATCGTTATCGTCTTCCGCCTCTTCTTTCTTAGAGTTGGCTGGTGTAATCATTATCTGCTGGTGAGAGAACTCTCCCACGCCGACACTAACGGCGCTCTTGTCCCTAGCATGCCCCTTTTTAACACTCGAGATGCTTTCACCCCTAGAGTGTTTCGTTTCCGGACTCGGCGTGCTCGGATTCGTGGCAGGTTGCATCGGACTCGGCGTGTTCGGGTTCGTGGCAGGTTGCATCGGACTCGGCGTGTTCGGGTTCGTGGCAGGTTGCACTATGGGTAACGGTTGGTCGGCAGATGTGTGATCGACTTTGGTCTCTTCCTCTGCTGTCTCTTTTGCGATGCCATCTCGTCCACCAGCTGATTGAGAACTGACTTTCGCTTCTCCCTGATGTGGCAAGCTCGCGTCTTTCAGACCACCATCCTGAGCATCTTGTGTTGCGCGTTCGACGGTCCCCGGTTCATCCGCATCGGTTTGGGGGTCTGGTCGGGCCTCCCGAGATCCATCCTCCTGGCTTTCAGAACCCCCGGCCTTCCCCGTATCTGCCTGGGCCGTATCATCTTGTGGCTTCTCGGACTTGGGCTCTGGATCGAGCCGCCGAGATTGTTCAGGATCCTGCTGCTCCGGCTGAGCGGTAGCAAGAGACGTTTCTCCCTGGCTTGACGGTTCCACTGGCGGAACCCACTTCCTGATAGGCAAGCCGAACTCGTCAAACTCGAGGTTGTCGGGCATTTCGGCTCTACGAATGGGGTCGTCCCTGATTGCGTCGATGGCTTGTAAAATTGTCGGTTGCCTGGCTGTTGCTGAACGGTTGCCCTCAGGGACGTAGTACTGAAGAAGCTGGGGTAAATTCGTCAAAGCAAGGGCTAGCAGAGACAAGGCCGCATTTGCAACGGCATGGGCCTGCCGGCAGGTGTGAGAATAGGGATGTCTTCCGGACTAAGTAAAGACCAACTGAAGATTAAACGAAGGAGACAAAAAAGTCGGTCAGGTCATGGAATTGTATTGTCTGCGATCCCTTGACCGAGACGACTCTGTTTGTCGATACAACGAGGGTTGTTGATTGTCCTTGGTTGGAAAGAACACCGAGAAGATGGGCTCTTTCTCCGAACTCGACCCAGTTTCTCACGTTCTTGAATTATATCGGAGGAATGTACGAAAAAGAAACCGGGCTCGTAGGGCCCAACACGGTACGTTTCGTGATACGACAAAGACAGGCAGGTATTTCGAACAGTCCAAAATAAAGGAGAATCCCAGAATTGGAGTTTGGCAGCACCCCTACAGATCAAGGGGGGGTTGCCCCACTGTGAAACCCGGCCTGGGGCACGATAACTGCGTGATCCAGTGACAATGTGACCTAGAATTCCTCATGTGGGGCCAGTCATAAGCCACACTCACGGGCCAGGCCTTGACGTTGAATGCTGAATGCGGCGAAGTTCGTGCAGACCGGTATTTGTGCTGCGTGCGAACTCATTGCATAGGTACTCGGTACAAAACTGCCTCGAAACTTTTGCGTCCTCATAGAGGTAAGGCCACTGGTGACCTGACTAATAACGTTGGGAAGCTACGGTGTAATACTTCGCAAGGTAGAATGGTCACAGGGAGGTACACACTTCCATCTTCAACCGCTCCCCATGATGGGACATCTTGTTCTGTGAATTGCCTGGCTACCTAAGTTACCCAGCTATTCGCCCGTCGCCTCTCATATCAATCACAAGTAGTCTCAATTACAGTCGGTGCGATATGAAATTGGTAAATTTTCCGTAGTTGGGGTGAAAGACACTACATTGGGATTGTGATGGCGTTTTCTGAATTTAGACTCCAGTCAAAAATAAGGTGTAGGATGGCGAGACCGGGAGAAATCCCAGAAGGCAGTCTCTCATCTCTCGTTCCAGCTCTGCGCATACAGATCTCTTCAAGCGCCGGCCTTGTAGTCACATGGACAAAGAAAGAACGAAGGCGCAGAGTTGCAGCCATATTATTGGTATCTCATTACAGTCGCTCATCCTTCGACAAAACTCGTCCTGAAATGCCCAGAGAAATCAGATTCGAGCTCTGTCAACTTTCACCTTCCGTCCCCACAGCTGTCCGTGCAGTTCCTGCCGGCTGCTCCCCTTCGCCAGATCCAGATTTATGCTTCCTCTTCCGCTTCTTCTTCGCCGGGGTTTCCTCGCCTGTCGGCTTCGCTGGCGATGTGCCCGTCGCTTTTCCAGCATCAACCGGTTTCTTTTTCTTCATGGCAGCCAGAGGGTTCGGGCCTTTGGGGCCATTTCCCTTCTTCTTTTTCTTCATCTCGGGCGTAGTGCTCGTCATCGATCCAGCAGGTCCCGCACCTTTGGCTCCCTCCGCGTCCTCCTCGCCGTCGTTCTCCGGCCTCTTCCTCTTTACGCCCCGTCCGGGTGCCGGCCCCTTCAACCCTGCCCTGTACTTCGCCTTCTCCTCCCGCTCTCTGATCGCGACACTCTCGCTCGCCATGGGCTCCATGATCATGACGCTCCGCTTGAAGTAAATCTGCGGCACTCCCGGAATGCCCCGCAACATTCTCCGCACGTTCTCGTCCTGGCACACGGAAACGAGCTTGTGTTTGTTGACGCTGTTGCCCTTGGGGTCCACCACCGCCCGGAAGCATTCGGCCGTGGAGAGAGGTTCTGGATAGTCTTCGGGCAGGTGACCGCAACGCCGCCGTTCCAATGTCTTCGCGAATTCTATGGTCTGGTCCATGTCGGGTTCCGATTTGCGTGCGTAGAGCTTCCGGATTTCACATTGGGAAATCACTTTCACATGTCACTAGTTAGTCGCCTCATTCCAATGCCACAGACGATGAGAAGAGATTGACATACTTGGCTTGATTTCGCCGTGCAGCGTCCGTTTCAATCCCGCGATGAGGTCGTACTTGTGCTTGTGGCAGTCGGCCACCATCTCGGCATCAATGAGACATTGGTATGGTTCCCGAAAGCCCCAGATCTGGGAGTACTGGGTCATAAGCTTCCGGTACTGTTTGCTCCTTTTCCCCCTCATCTTGGCGGAATTTCCGAGTCTTGATGAGGTTAATGGCGTCGGTAGAGAATGTCGTGCTGGTGGAATTCGACGGTGTTTTTGTTCCGTGACGGCAAAACTCCCAGAGGAACTTTTTCAGATGCGGGTAGATAAGATAGTGATTGATAAGATAAGGAGCATCCCCATGGCCTGCTCGCAGCATTTTCTGTACGTCACCTTCCTGCATTTATGTCAGTTCTACGCGTCGGAACTATGAGCTTCATTGATTGAAAAGAATTCATTTGATACTGGGCGTTTCATTCGTAAGAGCTATTCGTCTTTGAGGAATTGCCAAATAGTTCAAAATGATAATTCGAGTTTCCTTCTCGTGACATCCAAATGCCCACCTCTTCGTTCGCACGACGATGGAGGGTGTATGCTGCGTGGGCAGCTCTACTAGGGTAAGGTACGTGTATCGGACATCACCACCGCCCGATCTCTTTGTACTGTAATAACCAAATAACCTGAAGTCGTTCAGCCCAAAATTACGTCTATGAAGCTTGCCATGTCTCGTTATTCTTGACAAGTGCTGCAACAACACTGATATCGTCGAGCTTCCCTGCATCATGGTTAGCTTTGATGAAGACAAATGGATTAGCCAACTAACCTCCAATACTAGCCAAGCCCTCCTCAATTGCGTGTTCCATAAATGGGCTTTCGGCGTAAGGGTCCAGGGCAACCATTTTCGCGGCGGTGACGAGCTCTTCCGCTGCGAACTTCATGCCGCCGTTTGCGCCTCCTGTCCTGTCGCCTTCAACATTGCCGCCATCGCCTCGCTCCCATCGCTCCACGCTCTGGACGACGCTTTCCACAATCTCGTGTTCCCACATGTTATCGATTACGCCGTCGGTCATAGCCAGCACAACGTCGCCAACACGTATCTCCACCACATCCATGACCGCGTCCTTCTCTGGCGTGTCCGGACTATTCGTCCCGAGTTGGCGGGGGCAGTCGAACCAGTGCCATTGCTCTTTGGTTTTGTAAACCACCGCGCCATCCTTCGGTCGCAAGACCATGACCTGACAATCGCCGAGGTTCGTAACATACAGCAGCGGCACTGTCTTCTTCCCACCGTCTAGGGACTTGAAGTGGATCTGGGCTCCAGCGGCCGTAGTAGTACCCTGCCAGTCGACAGGTTCGGCTGTTGCCTTGACAGTGTTTTCGTAGGCCTGTTGTAGGCAAGCCACCGGGTCCGGCTTATAGGCAAGCCGTTCCTCGATGGTTTGATATTTGATGGCATCTTCTCGGAGGGCAGTAGCCCAGAAGTGCAGTATCAGCCTGGACCAGAGTCTAGTAGACGCATCAGTCAGCGTTGTCGACCGGAGATGTTGGATATGTGTTCAGTGTGCGTGGTCATGTGCAATTGCGTTTTTCAGCATGATTTGGGCGTGCATACCCAGCATGTCCCCGAGGCCGTGTCGTCCACGCTCCAACCCCATCATTCGCGCAAATGAAATAGTCGCTGGCAAAGACGGCATCATCGCCATTTGTCCTTCCTAGAATTATGTCGCCGTTCACCCGCGCACGACGGTCTCGGCTTTGGTGATGCGTGCTCAGAGGGTCCGAGAAGGAGCCAGAAGGTGGCGAGAGAAACGGGGGAGGGAACGGCCTTGGAGTGCGTTTCGCGAAGAGAGCGATGCCGGTGTCAAATCTATAGGGAAGTGGCGGCAAACCGTGATTCGAGCTGAATAACCGAATGGTTTTTGTAGTTGGTAGAAATCGAGGTTTCCACGGGACACGATTACCCAAGGGCGGTGAGAACGGCCGCTTGGTGGATGTGGATGCGATGTTCGGTAGCAATAGACCGAGGAAGCTCATCACCAAAAGGAGGCAGATCTGGAGCCTGATGCGATGCTGGATCGCAACAGTCCCGGATCGCTGGGCCCTGCTGCAATGTCGATGTCGATGCCAATTTCGATAAAGGCGTCGGGGGGTTTGAATAGCGAAGATGGAGGAGCGAGCATTGCCGCCTATGATCGGTGAGAAGGAACCAGCTTGGCCAAACCTAAGGTATGTATCCGTATAGTATTACCTACACGTGATAATAGCTGCACTCGCCAACAGCAGGTACCTTCCTCTGGAGCACCTCCAGATTAGAGGCTTGGCTTACGAAACCTCGGTATTGCCTTATTAATAACGCACTCAAAAAAGGGAATACGCCCGCCTCATTTAAGAGCCTAAGTCCATAGAACAGGTTTAAGGGTTTTAGGGGTCACCCAAGTTCGACAACGCCCAAACTTCGCTCCCTGGCGGCCTCTATCTTTCCTGCCTCAGAGGCACTTACCTGTCAGAAAATGGCTCGTTTGTTAAGGTTTTATGTCCCCATTCGGACGCCCCTTTCAGGCATTAAGGTACTGCTTAAGAACAACGGTACCTGACTGCTGGGACAACTTCCACGTGACGAGCCCTTGAGGCGTTTAACGGCAGCTCGTTCATCAGCCAGGACTTCTGATTTTACGGTTAGTATCAATAACAATCCTCAGCGGGACTGGTCCGTATCGCTTCTCTACATTGTAATCACCGGCAGTACTAAGTCTCTTATAACGATGATCGCAGCCATTGTTGGCTGATTTACCACGGCATTGGCCATTTACACACGCTTCGTTGCCGCCGCTTGTCGAGGACGCCCTCGCACTTCAACAACCCCCTAGCCTGTCACAGACGAGCAGAGGAAAGCGCGAAAGAAAGAGTTCATCGACCCCATCAATGAAGATAGCATTTGCCAACTTGCGTCTCGACACAATGACATGAAGCCATGTGAAGTCCTCCGCTCAAGTAATGGGAGCTATAGCACCAGGTACCTGCTTTATGTTACGTTTCCTGACGATGGAACTCAATGGGTCCCGATGCAACCTGCTCTTTGCGACGACTGGGCTAAGATCCAAAGCGAGGTGACTGCGATGCGGTAAAGTCCGCCAAGGGAGTGCTCTCTCCAACAATACCTAAGGTAATCTACTCGTTGTTCAGGTATACCCAAAACAAACCCACCATCCCTATCCCCACATCCACGGTTTCGGACGAGACGAAGCCCTGGCTCGGAACCCAATCTACAACTCCAGCATACCTTATCCTGGACTACGTATCTGGATACCTCCTCGATATCGAGTCGTTTATGAAGGATACCAGGACATGCCGCGACCATTTCTACTCATAACTTACCGATGCCCTGGCTCAACTCCGGAAGCTCGAATTCCCACCCCTACTGCCACATACAACCGACGGGTATACCACCCTGTTGTCGGTCCCCTCTCCTCTATACACATCAACGACATGCAAGTGGAAGGGTCGGACCGGCTCGATCCCCCGCCGGTTATTCACGCCACCTCCGTGGATCGCGGGGCGCGAATCGGCGTGCATAACGGGGCATGAGTACCGCTCAGAATTTATCCATTTCCACAATATCTTGCTAGCTAAGGGTCCTGAGTGTCACCAGCTTGCAGAGGACTGGAACCTTGAACTCATAAATGACGTGGCGCTGCCCATAGCCGACGTGCTAAGGCACCACTCTCAACTGAACGCTATCTTCCATCAGGCTGCACAACGTAGGTATATGACAAACTCTTCGAGGAGCCTAGCTCAGAAGTTGTTCCCCGGTTTTTCAACACGCCGAGACCCGGCATCTCCATGTGGAGGCACAGGAGCAATTGGAGAAATCAGAACGATACACCAAGATAGGTACCTCAAAGACAATTGGATTATTTGTCCTCGACGAGGAGGCTCCGAGGGCGAAAGAACTACACTACAGCAGCCATTGAAGTCAGCCAGGAAGGACGGACGCGACATACAACGTACTTTTCCCAAATACCTTGCTCGTAGTGATTTCGGAGAGACCAGATTTAGGACCCGGGACATGCTTTGTTCACCAACGAAACGAGCACAGAGGCCCAACTGACACCGCACCTAGAAGCTACGTATGTCCCATGGTCTCAGTTCCACCTCGAACAGAGTGCACCATCTAATAAACCAGGTATTGGGAAACGGCTGAGTATATCGGCTCCCTTTGTCGAAGCCCAGCTTCTTTTTTGGAAGTGGTTACCGAGCATGGCGTCCTTATACTCGGGGTGACGTCGCCGCGACCGCCGAGAAACGGGCGGGCAGACCAAGGGTCGTGGCACGCCTTGGCGTGTTAAGTGACGTCAAGGAACGTGACGCTAAGGGAGGCCAAGGAGACGTGAAATCTGTGGTTAGGTAGGGACCACCTTACAACGTAGTGTTTGAGCCTTCCAGTCAAACGCGCAACCATCGCCTAAATAGGAGCGTCAGTCCCGTCTCCATTGATTCGCTCAGAGCGATCAACTTCGATCGTCTCCAGCTTGTGCAGTAGCGCAACGGTACCAGGGTGGCTGTCGATGTTTATTGGAATCAAGAAGCTCATCCGTTCTTGCAGGCGACGTTTTACTATGGAGCCGGATCGATAACACTGACGCGTCCATCATCACCATCCTCGCATCTTCTATCCACATGTCGAGTGATTGCTCGCGCAGCGTGACATATGACAAGTCTGTGCGAACAGAGAACATGCGAACCAGAGAACATACCTTTAAGCCATTGCGCTAAGGAATGTGCCTGGCGTCATTGCTCTTCTTACTCCGTGATACTGGGTGATACTGAGGAATGGGTCCTAGCCAAGTGACAGCGAAACAGGAAGCACGGCCTGGTCGCGTCCTCTTTTCGCAAACAGGTCTACGGAGTAGACGTTGTCAATAAGAATGCGATCCACCTGATTCACCCACCTATTTTCGAACACTCGTATTCGTTCATTCGTTCATTCGTTCATTCGTTCATTCGTTCATTCGTTCATTCGTTCATTCGTTCATTCGTTCATTCGTTCATTCGTTCAT